CTCGATCCTCCTCGATTCTCCTCCTCCTCGATCAAAGATCCTATTCCTTCCTGTCCTCATCGTCCTCCTCTTCCTCGTCCTCCTCCTCCTCGCTCCTCGTCCCTCCTCCCCGGGCCTCCTCCTCCTTTATTATCGATCCTTGTTGTCCCCGGCAGGATCGCGTCGTTAACAAAAATCAGGACGGGAGGTTTTTGGCCCATTTCGGTCTCGGGGGGCCCTCGCCGGGCCTCGGGAGCGTCGAAGAACGACTCCGGGATGAAAAGCCGGTCACAGGAAGAGGGTCGGGACTTCCAGGGGCCCCGTATTGAGATAATCAGGACGTCGCATGTCTGGGGTTGGAGGAGGAGCAGGAGCAGGAGCAGAAGGAGGAGGTGAAGGAGGAGGTGGACCAGGGGGGCTGGAGGAAGACGAGGCCAGGACCGGGACAGAATCGGACCGGGACGAATCAGGGATCTCCGGGCTCCAGCGGATCTGGAAGACGTGTCAGGCGCCGCGGCCGTTCCAGAGCGCTCCAGAATCTCCGAGAGCGTTCGGGAACGCACTGGAACGATGACGATTTTACCCCTGTCCTGGCCACGCCCGAGGTCTAGCAAGGGGTGGCGGAAGGAAGGACAGGATCAGTCAGCATCGAATGGGGAAGTCTGACCGGATTGAAGCGTGCGTCGACTCGATCGGCCGCGCCAGGGTGCACAGCCACAGCACCGAGCCGCATCGAGTTGGGCTGGCAGAGTCGGAAGTCGGGCTGGCAGAACCCGACATCGGATCGGATCGATCGGAGCGAAGTGGGCCCTGAAGGATAATTACGCAGAAAGCAGCTGCACACCACTACCATGCGTGCCCTTGGGGCCACGCTGGGTCCCCAGAACCACCAGGGACAAGCGGCTGGTTCTTGATGTTCCGCCCTGGGGGCCGGTTTCGGGCCTCCAAGGTACCAAGCCGGGGTCCGGGCAAAGACCTGCCCTCCAGGGAAGTGGTCGCGCACGAATCGGAAAAATCACGTCGTGGGATGTCTGGACATCCTCCTGCTCCTCCTCCTTCTCCTCCTCCTCCTCCTCCTCCTCCTCCTGGTTCCTGGTTCCTGGTGGCTATAGAGCTCGTCGATCGCAGCCTCCACTCCTACTCCTCCTTCTCCTCCTCCTCCTCCTCCTCCTCTTTCTCTTTCTCCTCCTCCTCCTCCTCCTCCTCCTTCTCTTTCTCCTTCTCCTCCTCCGTCTACTCCTCATGCGCGGCCAGGGCCATTCCGGGCCCTGGCCCCTGGCATGATGCACACGCCCTCGTGGCCGAGGCCAGGAGGGTCCGTGTAGGACCGAACATGGCCCTGGCCAGGTACGATGGAGCGCGCTTCCTATTCGCGGCGATACCGCGCGTTATGGGGAGGAGGAGGAGGAGGAGGAGGAGGAGGAAGAGGAGGAGGAGGAGGAGGAGGAGGAGGAGGAGGAGCAGGAGGAGGCTGGGGGGCATAACGTTACGCCCCCCCGCCCCGCCGTGTGGTCACGGCACCACAGCAGCGTCCGCGCGAGCGACGGGCGACTGGCGACGGGCGACGAGCGACGAGCGACGACGACGACGACGCAGTGCTGTCCCGGCGCCACACCGCAGCGGCTGCGCGCACATCAGCCTCGTCGTACATGATGCTGGAAGGAGCAATGGGGGCCAGGACGGAATGAACAGGACTGGAGAGAAGTGGCGGGGGGGAGGTAAAATGGTAGCGCTTCCGTGTGCACCACAGTGTCTGTGCGCACGAGCCACGACCAGGGGCCACGAGCACCATAGTGCCTGTACGCACCACAAGGCCTGTGTGCACCTCTGGGACCCTGTGGGGTCCCGACGGGACCAAATGTCAGAAAATCGTGAGGGCGACCGATCTGATCAAATTCAATATGTGAGTTGATTGTGATTATTGTAAGTAATTGTCTATGCGTGCAATCCTGCACTTTGAGCCCACGACGCCCGTGCGCGCCATGGCCACTACGCGAACCACATCGCCCGTAAAAAGGAATGGAATGGAATGGGGAGGAATGGGGAGGGTAGGTAATGGTGGCGCTTCTGTGTGCACCACAGTGCGTGTGCTCACGAGGCACGACCAGGGGCCACGAGCCGCAACCATTTCAGCACCATCTGTGTTCGGAGGAAGGGGGAGAGGAAGAGAGGGGGAGAAGGAGGAGGATTTTTTTGCTCGAGGGCAGAGGCGATAGCCTTCTGACGTGGCTAGCGCCGATGACCCCAGCCTATGTATCTGGGGCCTTCCTGGGCTGCTGGCTCCTCTGTAGTGCCTTGAACTGTTCAATCTCATTCAAAGGCCTACCATCCTCTGGATGAAGGCCAGAGAGAAGTCGCTTGCGCACTGTGAATATCTTGCCACTCTTCGGTGGCCCAAGGCACTGTGCCAGCAAGCCCTTGAATACGAAAGTCGTGTGCATCCCACAACTGACGCAAAACACAATGAGGCCGTCTTGGCATGTCGCTGCCGAGAGGGCGTGAGAGGGGTGCACAAGCTGTAGGCGTGACCTAAACTCTCCTGAGAAAGGTGTGCACAGCTCGGTTTGGCGCTTGGATACCGCTTCATCCGAGTGCGAGAACGTAAAACATCCTGCACAACGCCAAGGGACATGCTGGGCTCGTTGCCAGTCATGTACCAGCGAGAGCTGAATTCTACGATCCTGCTTGCCTGGAGTTCGCTCTCCTCGCAGGTGCTTCGGCCAAGCCTGCAGCATGCGAGGGATGAAAAGAATAATATTGGCGGCATCCTCCATCTTGACTCGCAACGACGACTCAGACGACGGGTCAAACGACGGATGTAACTGGAGGGCCGCCTCGGCTGACAAATCACACTGGTTGTTGATGCGAAACGGCACTAGGTCCTCTGCCGCCACCGAGTCTTCACTCTGATGTGCTTTAACTTTCACCGCAGAAGAAAGGAGCTTGCTACTGTCGCTGCCAAGAGCCGTGCGAAACGTGCCTGCATACATGCTCCTATAAGACAATATCGCGGCGAGAGGCTTGTGATAACTGTCGAGGACTGATTTACAATCAACGAAAGCCTGCGCTTGTTCTGTTAAGATCTGCTGCAAAACTAAGAATCCTAAATGTTCAGCCGCCTGCGGGGTTTGAGGGAGGGGGAAAACAACTGGCCCCGAGACAACCACTTCGAGTTCCCCGTCGGCCGAAAATCCCCCTACCGCCCAGGCGGCTCTGTCGAGACTCTTAATGCCTGACCGCGTGCACGTGCCATCAGACCCCGTGAGCGGGCCCACTTTACATGTGCAGTGCGTGCCTAAATACGCTTCACGACCTACTTGTCGGATTTCCATAACAAATTCGCTAGCTGGAGCGGGGAACCCATCAGGGTCAGAGGAGGGGTGAGGGAGGATGCCTAACTGGTAAACCAAAGACCTATCAGCTGATTCTACGCACTTAGCTAGCAGGTCGGGATGAAGCAGTTTCATTCTCAGTTCGACAGCCTCCTCAGCCTGGCAGAAGTACAGGCGGTGTACAAGCGTGTCACTTGAATCTCCGCAGAGTGCACACTGGTCCTCTGCGGAGTATCCTGCAGCAGCTGCCCTACTGGTTGTCCAATAACCTTGACATATGACGGCCCTGAGTAGGGCTTTCTGTCCCGAGGATAGTTTGATTTGTGTGGCTTCGTCTTCATCTGGATCCCTGGCTGGTTTTCTGCCTATGATTCCTCCTCCTCCACCTAGAACCCTCCTGACCATGTCGAAACAAACTCTGGGTGTGGGCTCTATGTGGCTGAGACTGCGAGCAGCTTTAATTTCCCAGCTCCTGGCGCAGGCGTCCAGCAGCCAGTGCTCTACCAGCTTTGGCGAGAGATCCGCGAGCGAGAAAGCCTTGTCCTCGTGCGTGACTAGCACGAAGGGTCCTTGAAACTTCCAGCCGATCCTATCGAGTGCGTGAACTGCTGCCGTGATCGGACCTCGAACCTGACTGTACTTAAGGCCCGACTGTGGACCAACTTGATCCCAAAAAGCTTTCAACTGCAGAAGCCCAATCGTACCCATCGGAGCAGCCTTCCCAATACTGGCAGCCCAAACTTCTTTAGCCCACCTGATAACTGGCCCAAGAGCCCACTTGTCAGACTTACACCCATACAACGCAAACGTCACAGCTCTGCTTTTACCTTTGCATTTGGGTCCCGAGGCTGACAACCCAATGCTGCGTAGTTGCTCTAAATAATTGTTAGAGAGCCCCTCTATTTCAGACGCGTAAGTCCCCGCAGGCAGAAGACCACAGGGGGCAATTTTCCGAGCTCCTTGTCCAGCAACTCTGACGAGCTGTCGCAATCTAGCGGCGCGATCTCTGACCTTACGCATCCTTCTGGCTCTTTTGGATTCATTGGCGAGGGAAACCGATTTGCCTGCTCGGAAGCCGGACCCAAGATTGGTAGTAGACTGATTGTACTTCCCTGCCCAAGAGCCTAATGCCTTCAAGATGTTCCTGCCCAACGCCACCGAGGAGGAAACCAGCGATCACTTGTCGACAAAGAGCGTAGCGTCTAGATCCTCTTTGATCATCCTCGCTAGCTGCTTGGCAACAGTGACGAGCCACCTGAGAACGTCCTTGCTCAAGCCAAACGCCGTGAGCGAGAAATCGCCTAGGTAAAAGTCGAAGTAGACTGCCGCACTCAATGAGGTGATTATGAGAAACCCTTGAAAACAATAAATGCGAACATAGACTATGGCAAAAGAGCAGCCTGCCACGATGCCGCGGAAAGCATAGAGAGGCCTGCTGACTGCTCGTTTGTATCCTACGAACCTAGCAGAACCATACGCGGCAAGGTGGAACTGCATCAGAGTAGGACTGAATCCTAATTCTAGGCCTCTATCATGCAACCTGGCTCTCACGAACCTCTCATAGAAAGAAGTCAGGTCCCAAAAGAGGCCTACTGCGGCTTCTCCTGAAGCCTTGGTAGCTTCACTCCTCAGACTTTGCTTCCAGACAACGTCTATGGGTGATCTCCCAGGGCCACAACTGAACCATGG